CCCCCCCCCCCCCCCCCCGCTTCTTCCCTCCTTTTGTTTTCACCCAGTTTGCAAAGACTGATGAGCACAATTGAAGCCCTGGTGGCAAGCATGATGGTTAACTGTCTGGCGCGAGGTAAGTGCCGAAGAACTGCTGGCAGAGATGAGTTCATTCTAAATCGAAGTAGGCATCACAAGTACTCCAGTTCCTGCGAGAAGCCACAGTCAAGGAAGCAAAGCGGAGCTACCAGAGTCCTCAAGGAGGAATTACAAATTTGACCTGCAGCTTTCAAATAATATGAAAGGAGATTCAACTCATAACCCACAGAGACAATTATCAAAAGACCCCTCTCCTAATCCCCGGCCATCTCAAACCCTTCATCTACCCCAGATGCTAAATGTCTCAACCCACTTTAAATGACCTTAACCCCTCCTGACTCCAAGAGGCTGAATCTGGAGGTTTTATTTGGGCCAGTTTCTACCAGTTCTCCTGCTTTTGCATCACAGATCTGGCGGCCAGGCAGGCAGTTTCGAGAAAGGAGAGGGGGGTTCTGTAATCCCTGTTGGAGAAAGCTAGGAGTGCTTGTAACTGACACAAAAATAAATCTCACTCGCTCTACACATTAAATGGACAGCCTCCTGTCTCCCCAGTTCCCAGTGACCCCCCAGGAGCTCCCCTGAGCAATTGCACACAAACTCGGCTGCCTGTGAACTCTTCTTGCTGAGCAAGGGCAGCTGGTTCTCTTATCTACAGATGTTGTCTTTCCTTTCTTTTCTGAGACTTCTATTTAGTGTTGAGACTATTTACTGTCTTCTATAAGAATGGGTCAGAGGCCTCTAACTCCTTTCACTTACGAATATCCAACCAGAGGCAAAACGAATGATACTACTTTAAAAGTACTACTGATTTTTTAAAGCAATCAGTCAGAAATCATCTTAAAAAGACACCCTTTTCCTAAATACTCATTGATGCTGACAATTTCACATGTGTTTCAGCATGAGCCTTTAACGGTGTGTGAAACATTACTGAGGTTAGGAGATACTTTAAAGCATGATCCATCTCATCTACCCCTCAAGTCTTTATCTTTTCAAACTCTGGTACCCCCTTTCTTCTTTTATGAACTCAAAGCATTATTTATGACATATTTATGGGCTGTAGTCCCCTTATTTCCAGGAATAATTATATCTGATTTATAATCATAATCCTTAAGTATATCATATCCTTTGAATTTATGAAGGTTGCTTAATATTATGTAGTGCCTTTGGGGTCCTTTTTCAGACACGAGTAAAGATCCTTAGAGAAACCTTGAAGTTCACATAGCCTGGTGAAAATGGGCTTACCTGCGTTAGGAAGTGTACTCCATCCACCGGCAGATGAAATCCAATTCCCAACGTTTTGATGATCACAAGGATATTGAGTAAATTTTCCCTGTGAAATAATCAGAACACAAGCCATAAAATTTGATTACATTTCTGGATGTCCGTGTTTACATAAGCAAGCAGAGTGGAATTCCTTTAGAATGTGATAATTGGCATATAGGACTAAATTCTCATTTTATAGATTTAATATATATTAGTGTTGTTTTCTTTTTTGTGGATAGAGTTTTATGTGTCAGTGGGCATGTTTTGATCTGTAGTAAACGTAAACTTGGATACTGAAGAGCTATCTTGTGATTGGATATAAAAGTATTTTGAAACATTTTAAACTAGACTTTAAGTACTGAATTCTAAATTACAAGTTGCCCTTTATATAAAATCTTGATAAAATTCTGTCACGTTGAGTAACTTTTTTTTTTTTTTTTTTACTTAGAACAGTAATGACAATTATTATTGCAGAAATGTACCTCTTTAAAACCTTGTGAATAATTTGCAGGTGATTGGAATTAAGCCACTGAACACCACCAACGACTAATACAGTCTGGCTGGTATTCTCCAGGGGATGTGATCTGAAAGAAAAACAACACATGTTGCCTTGAAACAGATGGTAAACATTTTAACAGCATTGCCTCACATTTCATTGAACCATATCTGGCATCCTGATCACAGGACCTCCCTGTCATTTCTAACTCGTTTTCAGCCCTATTACTTGGTATTTAAACTTTTCAGTGCATTTGATATACAGCAAACAATTATGACAGCTAGTAAAACATCAATCCATTGTGGTATTGTTTCATTCAAAATAGTTCCACTGTACCTTTGCAAGAGATGTTCAAGGGCTTTTTCAAATGTTGGTCTCAACGAAGGGCTTATCCAGAACTGTGGATAGTAGGAATAACTGATCAAAGTCTTCCCACCATTGACGTTGTGATAGAATTTAGTGCCATGCACCTTCTGCCATTCTTGAAAGGTTTCATTCAATCTTTCGATCAGATAGTACATTATCCCTCTGTTGGTCGAATCTCCAATGAAAAGAATCTATAAGTTAAAAAATTTTGCTTTCAAAATCTGATGCTTATATGATATAGAAGACAATATAAAATAAATAATTTGATGAAAACAAAGCCACAAATCTAATTGAAGGACAGCCCTTTAAATGGTTAGAACTGACATTAATCATATTCTCCCCCAAACCCGTTCATTTTCCTTTTCCATATTCCTAGTAATGACATATCTACTGACCTACTAACTCATGTTTAAAGCTTTTTGCTTTCTTTATGCTGTCTTTAATTTCTCTACCTCTCTTATGTTCTTAACTTTCTCATCGAATCAGCTTAACAAGTTTCATTGATTCAAATAGGCATGAAGTATTCTAGTGCTGTAAGAATACTTAGAGATTTTCCAATCTCTTTATTCCATAGATGAGAAATCTGGGAATCCACAGAGGTTAGCTAGCTCGACAGAGGTCAAGCTACTACTTGAGAAAAGAGCCACAGGACTAGAATTTGATTTTCTGAAAAGCAGTCTGTGTTCCAGGATGCAAATCCCAGTGCCATTTGCCCTGGAAGCCTCTCACCCATCACCTCCTTCCCATTCCCACCAGCAGAGCCCTGCTTCAGGCTCCGACGGCCTCAAAGGTGTGCTATTGTTAACACTTGCTTAATGGGTCTTCTTGCACAATGGCTGCCCTCTAATTCATTCTCCACACAGTAATACTGGGATAAATTTCCAAATGTCTCATCTCACTTTCACACTCAAAAACCTTATCGGCTCCCCATGTACTACAGAGTCAAATCTTAACTCCTGAGGTTCAGTTAACATTTGCTGAATTTTTATTGCATATTGGCTTTTGCTAAGTGGAGATTTCACATGGGGTACTCACTTTTAATCTTCATAATCGTGGGGTGTGAATCATTCTCTGTTTCACAGATGAGGGATTTGAGGCTCAGGGAGACTGAGGTTGTAAATCTAGTAAATGGGGAACACAGGACTCAAATCCAAGTCCTTTATCTCCAAGTGCAGGGTCGATGGCCCCATGCTCTCAACACTTCTCCTAAAGTAAGCAGGTCAGATTCCTACTTTTTCACTGAACATGATTTGCACTCAGCAACATCTGTTTTTCCTTGTGCTAATCCATCTGCCTAGAAAGCCCCTCTCTCTGCAACCCCACCTGTGTAAATGCTACAAATCTCCAGACTCACCATAAACGGCTCTCTCAGCCAGTCTTGTCCAATGCCCCAGTGAAAGCGACCTTCTCTGTCCTCCGTGATTTCATTATAATTTTTATTTCCATTACTGACTTTATCAAAGACTACATGAAATTATGGCTATTTGTCTCTGTATCTTTTTTCTCATATCATATCAAGAAGTATTTGAGGTCAGAGTCAAGGTTAATTTCTAAATTCTAATTTCCCCCATAGTACCATGCATGCATTTTAAAAATATTTAGTGAACTCAACGTCAAAGGGACTTCTGTTAGAGACAATTCCTTTTAATGTCTTTGGAGAAGGTTTAATTTATACTTCAGTTTTTTTCTCTTTCTGTTGAGATTTCCCTTTGCATTACTCATGTACATATTCACTTCTGATTTTAAGAGCAGTCGCTGCATCACTTCTCAGGCACTAGTGCGTTCGTCCATCCATAGTGAGAGTGCAAAGGTTTATTTTTTCCACAGTAAGTGTATTCAAGTAGCTGTGTGAAGAAACCCAGAAGGCATTCTCCTTCAGAATTTGCTTCCCATCAAACACTGTTACCATAAGCATAGCCAAACTCAACTGTATGACGTAAGATGTCAAGACCCCAGTCACTGAGTCTCTCGGTCAAGTTCCATTTGGGGCAATAAAATCCCAGTATGAGAAAAATACTTTGTGAAATCACTTGAAATTCTTCCTACTGGATTTGACCTATAATTATTTGTTTGTTTTTCTGGCCCAGATTTCTGATTTTTTAAAAGGGAAACTTTGAATAATCAGGAAAGCTCTTCATTTCAGAGACTAGTAATTATCCAACTCCCTTTGTAATAGTTTGCTAGGGCTGCCATAACAAAGTACTACAGACTGGGTAGCTTAAACAACAGAAATTTATTTTCTCATGATTCTTGGCTAGAAGTCCAAGATCAACATATTTGCATGGTTGGTTTCTTCTAAGGGCATCTCTGCTTGACTTGTAGATGGCCATCTTCTCTGTTTCTACATATGGTCTTTCTTCTGTGTCTTAATCTCCTCTACTTATAAGGACACCTGTCATATTGGATTAGGGCCCACCCTAATGGCCTTGTTTTTTTTTTGGCGGTAAGTGGGCCTCTCACTGTTGTGGCCTCTCCCGTTGCAGAGCACAGGCTCCGGACGCGCAGGCTCAGGGGCCATGGCTCACGGGCCCAGCCGCTCCGCAGCATGTGGGATCTTCCCAGACCGGGGCACGAACCCGTGTCCCCTGCTTCGGCAGGCGGACTCCCAACCACTGCGCCACCAGGGAAGCCCGGCCTTGTTTTAACTTAATCATCTCTTTAAAGGTTCTATCTCCAAAACAGCCACATTCTGAGGTTATTAGGACTGGGAATTAGGACTTCAACATATGAATTTGGTTGGGTAGAAACACAATTCAGCTTTTAATACCAGTAAAGGACCTTGGAAATCCAGTTGTTAAGATAAATTTCCACTACAGATTTTTCTTATGGGGTCTTTTCATTTCAGTATCAAGATGCAATCCCTCCTAGTGTCTGTCTGGGCAGCCGGTAAGATCACTGGGTGTCTGTATTGTGGGCTACAGAGAGAACTACAGAGGTTGAAGAAAATCCAACGAGTTGCATGTTACTGAGAGGAAAAAAAATTTCTACATTTCCATTTTTTTCTGTGGGGTTGTATGAAGATGCAGCCCACCAGTGCATGACAGGGACAAAGAAGTTGTGTTTCAGAATTCTTGGGTACTGTTACTTATTAACCAGATGATCTTAGACAAATTATGTGACCTCTTCATGGGTTCATTTCCTTATGTGTATATTGGGGAAAATAATAGCACCACTGTAAAGGACTTTAATGAGCTTTTAAATACATATCTTATTCCTGGCACACAGCACACAACAAATGGGAGCCAGCACAGGAAAGCAAGAAGTGTTTTGGAATGCTTCTAGTGTGTCCTGCAGTGCACTGCTAGGCGCTTTAAAATTTGTTAGCTATTTCAGAGAAAATGTCAGTAAAGATAGGAAGCGTCTAAATCACAGCAGCCTCTCTCCTGTCCTATCTACCCTGTTACAGACTCTCATCAGGGCTAGTAGGGTTGCTGGTGAAACTGAGACTCTGAATCAAGAGCCGGGAGAGAGATCGCCACCCTGAGCAAACCAAGGATCTCTGAAAGGTTCTTCACGTCTGTCTCCACTGCTGATCAGTGACTAACAAGAGCTACAGGGATGGGAGAAGGAAGCATCACCACCACCATCTGCAAAACAAGTTCTAAACTGCGAATATCTAGATAGCATTTTTCAAGTCTAGCAGACACAGCTCTGGGAAGACTATATCTTAGAGAATTATTTTAGCCCAGTGCCTTTCTATTCATGAAAGACAGAAATGATAAATTATAACTAAAGTGAAAATGCACTTGTGAATTTTAAATTGCTGGTTCTGTAGGTAAAGCAGTTTTTGGAAGAGGTCAATTGGTATTCCTAACTAAAAGATTTCTAACTTCAAGATATCAGCTTTTTTAAGTGCACGCAATTAAAAAATAATACCCAGAATAAAAGTGGTTCTCTTCAGCCACATGATTCATATTCAGTCTTTATATCTTTTAGATCATTTGACTTGGTGAATTTTTAACAGGAAATTTGCGGATTATTTGTTTTCAAGGTTTACTTCTACTTTAAAAGGTCTAAATTACCATAACAAATATTTATAACTAGCCACACATTTTGTAAATAATTCTTCTTTCCTGTGAAGATTATTGCCCTATACTAGCAGGCACAGGTGTTGGTTGGCAGATGCAATCAAAGAAAAAAGAACCAAGTAACCAGTAAGCAATTATAAAAATAATCAACATTAGCAGTAAAACATTAAAATAACTATTTTAACAAAGATTAAAAAAGATTTTTAAAGGTCCAACGATATCATGAGTTCAGGGAAATGAACCCTCTCGTATACTACTCTGTAAGAACCACAAGGGAGAGATTTTTTCTTTCTTTCTTTCTTTTTTTAAACTGTTGAATTCCAAGTGTCCAGAATACTGCCTGGTGTAAAAGTCAGTCCTCATTTGTTAAATGGATGATTGGAAACTTTGATGCTGTGTATATAAATCAGCAGTTTTCTACTTCTAGGAAATTTCATGGATGCCCATGAAAATACATTTAAAAGCAAAATAAACTGGAAGCAACATAAATGTCTATCAGATTGATTATATTAAGGTATAATCGTACACTTGAATTCTTTTAATCTTTTAACAATCATATTGTAATATGGATATATTGTGATGGGAACATTTTAGTTAACGTTTATAAAAAGATGATTACAATCAGAATATGAATAATTGTTGCATTTTTGTAAAAGTAAAGCATATGGATGCATAGAAAAAACTCTGATTTTTTAAAAAATTTATTATTTAATTTATTTAATTTTGGCTGCGTTGGGTCTTCGTTGCTGCGGGCGGGCTTTCTCTAGTTGCAGCGAGTAGGGGCTACTCTTCGTTGCGGTGCATCAGGTTTCTCATTGCAGTGGCTTCTCTTGTTGAGGAGCACGGGCTGTAGGTGTGTGGCCTTCAGTAGTCGTGGCATGTGGGCTTCAGTAGTTGTGCCTCGCGAGCTCTAGAGCGCAGGCTCAGTAGCTGTGGCACACGGGCTTAGTTGCTCTGCGGCATATGGGATCTTCCCAGACCAGGGCTCGAACCCGTGTTCCCTCCATTGGCAGTCAGATTCTTAACCACTGCGCCACCAGGGAAGCCTGACCCGGGTTATTCTGAAGTGATGATATTATGACAGTTTATTCTTTTCGCTCATTTGTATTTTCTAAATGAACAGATATTGGCTTTTCAGATAAATTAAAAAAACAAAAGCAGCA